GGCCTCGTGACTTGCGGAGGACGTCGGAGTATGAGGCAGAGGAAGCATGCCGAGGCCGGGTCTTTCTTCAAGTCGTCCACATTTCTGAGGCGCGGGTAGTCCTGCTGACATGCGAGCAGCCACCAAACTCCACTTCACATGGCGCGGCGACGATGGCCTGAGAGGACTCCACCTGAAACGCCGGCTCCGGCTCATGCTCGCCCACAGAGTCCTCTTGACAAGACGCTATCTGTCTTTCCCGATGATGCAGAGGGCCTTGTGTTCGGCATCCCGGTAATTGGTTTGCGTGCGCTCTAGATGCTCTTGGACTCGCTTCCTACGACCCTTCACGCCCTCAAGCACGAACTTCTCTCCACCAACGTCGACTGTCAGGTCCGGCTTCCCCTGATCCGGGCTTGTGGACTGAATGGCGTAAGGTTGATAGCCCAGCTCGTTGAGGCTTGCTCCGTTTCTCATGCAGGAGGCCATCAGATGCCACAGGATTCGGGTTCTCGGCATTTGAAAAGCCGACCACCTTGGCGAAGGAGAGGTAGGGCAGCGCGCGCAACAAGAGGTCTGCGCAGTGCTGGGGCTGCTCTGCAGTCAACTCGCTGTCGTACAACGCACTCAGCTTCTCGCGGTAGTAGGAGGCCATGATGGGATTCGCTACGCGGTATCGTACCTTGTCTTTGGCCCAATCCACCGGAGTGAACTCCGGCCCCGCCATGTCGTGCTCTGGAAGGACGAAGCCGTTGATGCTCAGCTCTCTTCGGACAGCCGCATCCGGCAGTGACTGCGGCCTGTGAACAGCACCTGTGCAAATTCTAGCGGAATCTTGTCGAGGCTGGCATAGTTGCCGTTCACGCGGACCGCACGGCACCTTCGCAGGAACCCCAAAAGCTCGCAATCTCCGCACCCCCAGGGTTCCCAGGTTCCTGAGCTGTAGCTGTTGCGCACGAAGCCGGTTGTGTTTTCGATGGTCCAGCGTGCGCCTTGCTGCCTCTCCTAAACCCACTGCATCGCAGCAATGAAGATGCTGCGATGACAGGCCCAGAAACGGACGAAGAGCTGGATGCTCTCTTGATCCAGCTGCACGCCGGCTTCCTCCAACTGCTGCTCGAGATCGGGAGAGTAGGACAAAGGTGGCGTCCAAATAAATTTGTGTGTAATCTCAACTGGTGTAGCCACGGACGTTGACAAAGACGACGCTCCATCACCCGAGGACGAGAGGAAGAGAACCTTGACTCGCGATCCGAAGCCGCTCTTAGTCAGCGCGCTGGTCAACTTTGCGCGAGGGAAAATGGTGTGGCATTCATCGAAGACCAGTGTCGGATTCTGCTCTCGAGCAGTTCGGAGGGCGAAAGCCAATGGACCATCCAGATGAGAATTGTACTCGAGCGCCAGAGCCCGAGCGAGGGTTGTCTTGCAGATGGCGACACCCCCTCGCACGAAGACGACCATGAGCTGCTCAAAGAGCTGCTCGATCTTGTCATCGTAATCTGACAGCGGGAGGTCGACATGCTGGTCTGGAAGAACATCGCCTCCGATACCAGGCAATTGACGACCTGGGATATTGTAGGATATCGTTGCCTGCTACGCTACGCTCAGAATGTACTGACATCTTGGGACCCTGCCCCTGCCCTGGCTGGAGGCCTAAGCTCGCGGTCGAAGGTCTTTTAGCACAGCACACAGAGCAACGAAGCGGCCTCAACCACCGCTGCCTCTCCAAGATCTTCAACCTCTTCTCTTGTGCTTGTGAAAGAAAAAAGCGCGAACAAAGGACAAACAGCCTAGTCGAGGTCCTCGACATCCTGCCTGGCATAGCAAGACCCTGACGAACCGAACCGCCGCGCAGTCGCGGCGCAGTGTGAACACCTCCTCAAATTCTCCATCTTCATCATATCCTTCATCTCCTCCATCTGCCTCTGCCGAGCGGACCTGCGAGCGCATGGGCATTCCTATTCCACCGGGCCGGAACACCAGCAAAACCCTAAGGCCGACACCTCATCCCCATCATCCCCATCAGCCCCATCAGCCCCATGAGCTCCATCAGCTCCATCAATTCCAGCATTAGCCGCTTCTGCTGACAAGCGGACCTGCGAACGCAGATCGTCTTTATTCGCCCGAGTGCGCTACAGCATAGCACTCAACAAGTTTTTTGCCGATGAAGCCCACGTCCCCTGAGGCCCCAGCATCAAGGCTCTGCCGGCCCCGCTTGCACTCAGCGCCCGCGGGCAAAGATTCGGACGAGGACCCTGCGTCCTGGTTCCGGGTCTGCAACTTTGTGTCCGCACATTTTTATGCAATCTCACACCTCCACCTGGCACACAGCCCGCCGGCGGCAGCCAAATACGTTTGCCCTGCTGCTCGCCTGGAACTGTCACGAACTATCAGCAAATCTGTGAAAAAAACGATTGCGACGCACGTGTCCCCTAACTGCCTCTTAACACTGAAGCGCTGGAAACACTGAAACTCTGAGATGCTGGCAAGCTCCAAAATACCAAAGCCAATGAAGCCAATTCGAGCAGACGTGCTTTGCTGCGAGAAGATGTTGCCATCGCTGCGCTTTGCCCTGCGACTGGGGGAGCTGGGCCCTTGCGTCGGAGCAAGAAACTATACACCTAAGCTACCAGCACTTCCAAGAATCAATTCGCTTGGCTTCTCCTGTTGATTGTTGTGTGTGAAGAAGGGGTGATGATGAAGCCCATGCCAGCAGAAAGGACTTTCTGCCTGCGGCGTGCCCCGCATGTATTGAGAACCGAAACTGGGAGGCGCTGGCAAACTGGAGAGCGCAAGCAAGGACATCACACGTTGCAAAGGAAAGCCCATCCAGAATTGGCCAATGCATTTCAGGCACGATAAACATCTGGGTGACATCCTGTTTCTGCAGTGAAACGCCAGGTCATCGGCCAAAACTCTCATCCTCGCTCGTGCTCGCTTCGCAAGGGAGCGGGTCCAAGACTGCTTCTTGTTTTCAGGCTGCGTCCTCACAGGAACTCAACTGACTGTGTTGCAAAAGCGTGGTTTCGGGCATCCTTGCTGGCTGCCAGATCTGTGCACGGCCTGGTGCACGGCCTCGTGTACTCAGCGGCCTCTCACGCCTGGGGCAGGGACGGAGGGCAAGGCTCACGGCAAGCTGGGCCAATCCCCGAGCCGCACGCCGGCGGCAGGTAGCCGTAGCAGTCGTCCCTGGGAGCGGGGGGCTCACACCGGCAGACAAGGCGGGCATGGCAGAGCGCAGTCCGAGGAGTGGGCTTGCTGCTGCCGCGCGTGAGCGGTGCATCCTCCATCTCGATCAGAGGCTTCCAGCTGTCGCCCTGGCTCTGGACAGGTGGAGGGGCTTGAGGAATGAGGGGGAAGCATCTGCCTGTCGCAGAGGGTCACGCGCCTCTCGCGTGTAGATGCGAATTTTGCGCGCAAACCCCTTGAGCTCGCCTTTCGTCTTGATGGCCTGGCTCAATGCGCTTCTAAAATAGCCGCTTTGGGGAGAGGTTTGCTCAGGCCAGGGAGCCTCCTTGAGGTCATCAACATTTCCAAGGTCCAGGTCCTGTGACCGCTCCGACATCCAAACATCGGCAAACATGAACAAACATCGACAGCCGGGCCTTCCCTTTCAGCTGAAACGCGGGTTCCTGTCACCAAGTCCAGGGCAAGAATCCGCAAAGCATCGCGCTTGCAGGTTCCGAGTCCTCGAGGTCCTCGGCGACGGTGCCGCTGCAGTCCTGCAAACAGCCGTGCCCCAACCCTGGAT